AGGACTGCGGATGTGGCTCCAGTGGTCAAGTGCCCCTGAGTTCAATCCCCAGGACACCTGCTCCCCTGCAAAAATAGAGGCCCATATAGCCAAAACAATTCCTACTGAGAAAAGTAATACAGGAGACATCACAATACCAGACACAAAATTATACTACAGAGCTATAGTAAAATAAATAGATAAATGAATAAATGGTATTGGCACAAAAATAGAACTGAAGATCAATGGAACAGAAGACACAGAGACATACACAAACACAATTATCTCATAATAGACAAAGGTACCAAAAACATTCATTGAAGAAAAGATAACCTCTTCAACAAATAGTGCTGGGAAAACTGGAAATCCATGTATAACAAAATATAATTAGACCCCTATCTCTCACGCTGAACAAAACTCAGCTCAAAGTAGATCAAGGACCTAGATGTTAGACCACAGATCCTGTGCCTACTAGAAGAAAAAGTAGGCCCCACTCTCCATCCTGTTGGCTTAGGAACAAACTTCCTTAATAAGACTCCTAAAGCTCAAGAAGTAAAATCAAGAATCAATAAGTGGTATGGGATCAAACTAAAAAGCTTCTTCACAGCAAAGGAAACAATCAAGTATGCAAACAGAGAGACTACAGAATGGGAGAAAATCTTTGCCACCTGTACCTCAGATAGAGCATCAATCTCCAGGAACTCAAAAACTAACACCAAAAAAAAGTCAAATAACCCAATCAATAAATGGGCTAAGAAACTGAACAGACACTTCACAGAAGAAGAAATACACTCAATCAATATATGAAACAATGTTCAACATATCTAACAATTAGAGAAATGCAAATTAAAACTACACTAAATTCCATCTCCCTCCACTCAGAATGGCATTATCAAAAATACAAGTAACAATAAATGTTGGCAAGGATTTGGGAAAAGGGTTCACTCATCCATTGCTGGTGGGACTGCAAATTGGTGTGACCACTCTGAAAAGCATTATGGAGATTCCTTAGAAAACTTGGAATGGAACCACCATTTGACCCAATTTTTCTACTCCTTGGCTTACACCAAGAGGACTTAAAATCAGCACACTACAGTGATGCAGCCACATCAATAATAATAGCAGCTCAATTCACAATAGCCAAGTTATGGAACCAACTAGGTGCCCTTTAACAGATGAATGGATAAAGAAAGTGTGGTATCTCTACACAATAGAATATTACTCATCCATAAAGAAGAATGATATTATGGCATTTGCCAGTGCATGGATGGAACTGGAGAATATCATGCTAAGTGAAATAAGCCAGTCCCCAAAACCCAAAGGTGGAATGTTCTCTCTGATATGTGGATATTAACCTATTACAAGGGAGGTTAGGGCGGGGAAGTTTAAAAGTTCATTGGATGAGACAAAGGAGAATGAAGGGAAGGGAGATGGAATGGAAATAGGAAAGACAATAGAGTGAATCTGACATAATTTTCCTGTCCTTATATATGAATACATGACCAGGGTAACTCCACATCATGTACAACCACAAGAATAGGATCCAAATTGGAATGGGTTGCACTCCACATGTGTATAATATGTCAAAATACACCTTACTGTCATGTACATCTAAAAACAAACAAACAAAACAAGACAAAAACAATCTACTGAATTTACCAAAATGAGAAGATTCAAATGAGGCACCAGGGTTGGGAGAAGAGTGAGTTAGGATACGCAATGGAGTACACGAGTCAGAGAGAAAGAAAACACATACACTTGAACTTGCTTCACTAGAGCAAATACTTCCCATCCAACGTCATGCATCTTTGAAGCTGGGGAGTACAGTATTCTGTGTTAAATCATTTTATGGGGATTTAGAAAGGATCTAGGTAAAGGTTGCCCCAATAAATGATTTACTAGCTCTAATAAAACATCAAGGAAATAGTAAGGATTGTATCTCAGACTATTTAAAACAGAAGTTTATAGGAGTCTGTACAGTCTCCATATCCTCAGCCCCGGTTTACAAAGAAATGTATATAGTGGCTAATTATTCCATATTACCTGTTTTTTTTTTAAATAGTAGCAATTTCAAGAAAAGGAAGAGATTAGCAGTAATCCAGACTGAGAGACAGAGAAATATCACTCATGTATGAACATGTCACAACAAATCCCACCACTAAGTACAATTATGATGCACCAATAAAAACATGGAAATAAATGAAATTGTCACTCATTTCTTTATTTACTTGTCAATACGTATTTACTGATTATCTTAGATACCTAGTATTCTAGAGCTTGGGGCTGACGACCCAGATGTCAGATGATGACTCAGATGACCCTAGACCAGAGGGGCTTGTACTATAACTTCTGTGGAGTAAGAGGTAACAGAACTGAGTAAATAAAAACAAATACAAAAGATTACTATAAACTGTGGTAAGGACATCAAAGGAAACAAACAAGGTGATGAGAAAGTCAGTAACCACAACAGGAATGGATTCTACTTTATATACAATAGCCATGAAAGGCCTCTCTGGGAAAGTAAAAATGACTCTGAGACCTACAGCAAACCACACCACTAAGAAGTGGGAGAACACTTCAGATAAAAGAGGCACGAACTGCAAGGGATTCCATGTTATAAAATACTCAATGCATCTGAACAACAAAAAGGAAGGTAGCTATGGAACGTGAGAAATAATCTTAGAGTGATCCACACCACTGTGTTAGATAGCTTTCCATTGCTGTGACAAAGTCCCTGAGATAAACATCTTACTTGAGGAAATATTTATTTTGGCTCATGTTCTCAGAGGTCCATTTCATGGCTACTTGGCGCTGTGGCTACACAATGTACATCACGGCGGGGTGCAAGGTAGAAGAGGCGGCTCACCTCATGATGATCAGAATCCAAAGAGAGCAGGAGGAAGGGGTCAGGGTCCCAATATCCCCTTCTAGGCAACCCACAATGACCTAACTTCCTTATACTGGGCCCCACTTCCTAAAGCTCCCAATAGCAATATATATAATGGTTAATTATCCCATATGACTAAGTGTTAGCACATGCTTCTTTGGAAAATGGTTAAGATCCAAACCAAAGCAGTTCTTTATTTTAACCTTTGGAAAAAAGACATTTCCTTGAGATGCATTATTATTGATGCTAATAATAATAGCAGTCTTCATTAAGAATTTACATGTTCTAGTTTCTGTATAGGGAGGATATATTATGTGTATTATTTTTCCACAAAAATTATCAAATCCCACAATCCAGGCATTATTATTCCAGTTTGATGCAAGAGAAAACAGCCTCAGAGAGTTCAAACAAGTTGCCCAAGGTTACACAGCAGTGATAGAACTGGAATTCACGCCCAAGTAGATCTATTACAAACCCTACATATTTTCTTTTAATTTGCAAGTTCTGTTTACTAAATACTTGTTAAATTCTATGCTGCAAGCTACACACAGAAAAATAAATGAAGCAAAATGTGGTAGATTATGTTACCAAAGAGAGCCACATCACAACTTCCATTTCACATGCGCTTTGGTAATGTCACCTTTCCTTTCTGCATTAAGAGGGGGAGTCTTCCTTCTCTGTCTGTCCCTGAGACTTATTTTGAACAACAGAATAGCTTTGAATATGATGCATCCTGCCTGAATCAATAACCCTCCGAATTTTGAGCCTGTAAAATGGTTATCACAAGACACTATGCTGTCAGTCATTCGGCAGGCAGCAATTGATGACGAAAATGTACAAGGAGACTAGTTGGTGAGAGAGGGAGGCATGTAAATATCTTAAAAATAACATGAGGGTCCCATGTTCCCTGCAGCATTGTTCACAATAGCCAAGATATGGAAGCAACACAAATGTTCATTGATGCATGAATGGTTAAAGAAATTTATTTGTCAATTAAAAAATGATTTTTAAAAATAAAAGTATTGTCATGATAGAAGAGCACAGAAGCTTCTAAGTCAATGTGGAGCAGGGGTTGGTAAACATTTTTGGTAAACAGCCACATAGAAAATATTTTAGGCTCTGAGGGCTACACTGTCTTTGTTCCAACCTCTCGATTCTGCCACAGTAAGGGAAAACACTCAATGTGTGATTCCCATAAAACTTCATTGACAAAAATGGAGGACAGGATTTGGCCTTGGGAGCTACACTTGCTGCTCTTGGTCCCGACCTAGAGCATCATGGGAAGCCCCCTGGAAGAACATTACGTAGGAGTGACATTTTCAGGAGCAATTTGGAGCTGAAACTCTGGGATCCTTGGGAAACCTCCATCCTTTTTAATTCTATGGTAAAATCAGAATGACATTATAAGATTATGTGCTCTGGACTCTAAAAGGTCATTCCTAAAGGGCAATTAGGGAGCCAAGTCACCAGAGAAAGAGTGGAGAATTGAGAAAATGCAGGAGTTGGGACCTGATTTAGTATTTTCAAATAGCATCTCTTGCATATTTTCCTTCCTAGAAGAATCATGGAAGCGTGGGCTCTGGGGCTCCTCCAAAGACCTGCTTCTCTTGGTCCAAAAACAACTTACTGTCCCAAATTCATCTCTGGATTCTGCCCACACCAGTGTTGCCAATTCTTTCCTGCAATCTTCCCTCTAAGACTTGGCTCAAACTGTTTTTAAAAAGTATTTATTTTTTAGTTGTAGTTGAATACAATACCTTTATTTTGTTTATTTATTTTTATGTGGTGCTGAGGATCGAACCCAAGGCCTCGCACATGCAAGGTGAGCGCTCTACCGCTGAGCCACAACCCCAACCCCTGGCTCAACCTTTTTTAGAGAACCTTACTTCTATGTGTGCGTGAGGCATTTTATGCAATTAAAAAAAATACTCTTATTACATCATAATCGTGGTTTTTCCTCATTCACAATCCTCTTTGGGCTACAAACATTTCCAAGTCAGGATACATATTCTGTAGCCCAAACAGATACACAATCATTTTTGTTGATTAAACAAATAATAAGAGAAAGAACAAAAACTTGTTTGATTCAATGAATTTAAACTGAATTTTTAAAAGACAGGAAACAGTTACTCACCAAACTGAAAATCGATGTTTTTCCAGTTCCTCCAAGTAAGATGTATCCTGTGAATCATCTGCAAGTTCTCCGGGTCTCCCAACAGTTGATTTTTCCTTCATAGAATGATCAGTTAGGCTATTTCCCTTGTTAGAGAAATTAATACATGAAAAAACAAATGGACCCTTCCTCCAGCCTGACATAGAATCATTGATCATAAAAAAACACAATTAGCCATAGATCTTGCATTGAAATCAGTTCTCCCCACTTCAGATTTTTTCTCACGAAATTCTTATCTCCACAGGGGCACAGAGCCGGGCATGTTCACTTTGGAATTAGCTCTCGTGCAATGGCTCTCATAATTGTTAGGATCAAAAGCAATCAGAACCATAATCATGGTATTTGCATTTAGGACTTTGAGTTGCAAGGAAAAGAAATGCAGCTTGGACTATCTCCTAGCCAAAAAAAAAAAAAAAAAAAAAATGTGTCTGAAGCAAGATTTGAATAATTAGTTCAATAAAAAGCAAGGGAGACATCTGGGTTTCAGGAATATAGGAACCAAGAACTTCAGGAGTCCTCACCTCTGTTCTCTGCTTCAACCAATCACTGCATTCTAGCTTTATCACTAGTAACCCTTGAGTCTCACAGTTTAGGACTCTTGACAACACAGATTTAAGCTCAGGACTTTGACCATGGCTGTGCAGCTAATTCACGAGAACTTAAGGGAACTGTGACTCATGATGATGGTTCCAGAAGATAGACTGAGCCCCTTGGTTCAACCATGGCTTCTTGGAAGACCCACTGTGGAAGGTATCGGGACAGAGAGAGCTAACAACCTAGAGGGCTCTCGCTCCCTTTCCCTGCAAATCATATCAGCTTTTAGCTATTTGCTAAATGGGGATCTCCCAGGAGATTTCATTGCAAAACGTTCATGAGAAAAAATAATTTGAAAACCGCAAGTCTAGAAAAGTAGAAAATTAGGTGCGGCTTGCATTTATAAGACAGTTATGTTAAAACTCTGCTTTCCATTTTTTTTTTTTACATGTTCTTAATTATCATTTGTAAGATGCCAAGTACTTGAAATTGCTTGAAATCAGTTCATACAAGTTTCAGCACCACTCTGTAGTTGGAATATTTTGTAACTACAAAAGGTTGTTTTGGGTTGGCAGGATGCAGTAACCAGGAAAACCTTAGGGAGAGAGGCAGGTGATGTCGATGTGTCATCAAATCCCTAGTGAACACAATGAGACTGTTTCCTTTATTATGGAATTGATTGATTTGATTACCTTAAGAACAAAATCCACTTATGACAGCCATCAATTTGAAGTACCTGTCTTGGCGGTCCATTTTTATCTTTCTAAGTCTCTGTAGCTCTTATGACAATAAAAGTAGTTCTGACCAGATCATTCAGGGCTGGCATTTTGAAATAACTTCACCACTAACTAAATTTAAGAGTGCCAAAATTCTTGACAAAATATGAGAGCTTTGAATTATCTCACACACTTTAGTAGACATTTAAATTATGATTTGATAGCATTTCCTTATGACTTGCTTACTTGACAGAATTGTTACTTGACAGAAAGTTGAAATGACTACCAAGAAATTACTACCATAAATTTGGTTTACCTACCATAGCTCCTGATCTGCTAAAATACATGGGTGTTTCATGATAGAGTGCATCTCATTGCTTTCCATTTGGGTTAGTTTATGAATACCTATCCTGTTTTTTCAAACTAAATTCGTGGTAGAAATGGAATTTGTATCATATTTCTTTGTGTCTTTCACAACACCTACTATGGCAACAAGCACATACTAGATGCTCAATAAATAACTGTTAGAGGTCATTTCACTAAGTACTTACAGTACAACTTACAATGAACTTCACCTCCTGTTGCTAAGTCATGACAAAAAGTGCCTATGAATTCTAAAGCTCACCAAGATGTTGTGAACCTCTGTACTTTCTTTAAGGAATGTCTGAATGAATGCACTAAACATTTCTTCGAATGGATATTTTGGAAATTAGTTCAAGAAATGAACCTTAAAATAAACAAAAATATGAATCAGAGTTTTGATTGCAAGAAGGAGGTAAATATGCCCAGGGAAATTCCCAGATAAGTAGCAGGGTGTGTGAGCCTGGTCACAGGGCATTGTACCAATCTAAATAGTCATAAATAATGCTTTATCAGCCTGGGATTGCAGCTCAGTGGTAGAGTGCCTTCCTAGTATGCATGAGACATTGGGTTTGATCCTCATCACCACATAAAAATAAATAAATAAAATAAAGATATTATACCCATCTACAACTTAAAAAAATAAATAATGCTTTATCTACAATATTACCAATATTTAAAACACAGAAAATAGACCCTCTGGCCTATACTGAAGTCAAAGACCATTATCATTAGAAAAGAGAGAGACAGAGACAGAGATTCTTCTAATAGCAATGTCTTTAGAAAGAGGAACACCTATACTTTAAAAGAGAAATTGATATGCCCATTTATTTTGGAACATCACATTTTATATTTCATGTCTATGGCTACACAGATCCTGACCTACTACAGAAATCAAGAATATATATTTAAAGATAAATTGCTAAAGTCAAAAATCTGATCTTCAATTTAATGAACCAAATACCTTGTGTGTGAAGATTGCTGTTCTAATACAGCATTGGTTGAGAAACAAGGAAGGGCCCCTCTTCCAAACATAATGCAAACTGAGGGGAAAAATGGGTTTTAAGGAATTTTGAAAACTTAAAATATTGGTTATTGAAAAAGGTAGTCAGGTGATGGTCAGGATACACACATTCAAGTCTTCTTTACTACTTAAGAAAATTACATAGATATGGTCCATAAGTTGAAGTTTTTTAATCTAAAAAACAAGGATAATAACTGTCCCAGACAAAAATCATATGACTTTTATGAAAACTTGGATTTATATGTGTATTATGTGCTACATCATATTAATTCCATATGTAATACACGAATAGGGATATGTAAATCTTTAGTATTATAATTTAAGATAATTTATGTTTGTATGTAATTTTTTTCATAGGGGCAAGGGGAAATAGCACTTAAAATGCTTTAGCATATTCAGGATGTAAGTAGTATCTTGTCCCAGTTCATTATTCAGCATAGATGAGTGATTGAGCATTTAACATTGCTTTTTGTGCATATGTTATAGGGTTTCTATGAAGTTGCTAGTTAGGACATGTTGCAGGAACGAGGTTTCAAAATTGTCTACCCTCCTGGCATTTAAATCTATTTAACTGTGTTTCATGGGAAGAAGCAAAACTCAGCTCACTACTGTGGTTCAGAGGATTTTGCCTGAGCTATGGGCTCCTGGAGAAGGATTAGGATATGGCAGAAAGAGACAGGCCAGTGACACCAGTCTAGTGGAGAGGCTTCAGTGTTGGCATAATTAAGGGCCACTTAGCAACAACATCTCTTCCCCTTACAGGGTCTTTCTGCAGGTCTCTGGGAAGAACTGTTCACCTGCCCATCTGGCCTGACTGAAGACCAAGGGGATTGTTTTCATCAAAAGAGAAAAAGCCTTAGAAAAAGGAAATGGTGAAGAAAGGGCTGAATCCTGGGGATTACAAACGCTTTTGAGCTGCTCGGGAAAGAACAGAAGGGAGGCCTGGCAGCTTTCATGCCAGCCCAAGTGATGCTCACCATCTTTTGAGCAGGCAAAGGAGGAAGGTTTGGGGTGGAGACCCTCTGCTAAGAGGCTGTGTTAACAAGATCACAGAATCTACGAGTCACAGGTAACAACAACAAACACCAGGTGCCTCTCAAGTATCAAAGCAAATAAATATGACATCATGTTCTTTCCATTGCTGCAGTTATTGCCATCCAAATTAAAAAAGAAATCCAGCCTAAATCCAGAGAACCACCCCAGGAAGCGTTCCCCCTCTTTTAAATTCACATCTGACGTGTTCACTGGAGAATTTTACAGGACAGGCTTTCCAATAACCACCCTTGGGAGAAAGCAAGCTGTGCTCGGCTGCATAGCTTAGGGCTCACCCTGTGAGACTCCTGGAAACCTCTTTGGTCTTCTGTTTGTGTCCCAGAGGACAACTAGCATCCCAGGCCACTTGGAACCGCAAATTCCTAGTTCTTTGGTCACTTAATACTTGAAAAACTGACGCTTTACTATTAAAATCCCACAGGAACCTCGTTTTCCCACAGTCACTCAACAAATTACCTAGGCCAGAATCTTTAATATCAACTGAAGATGCAAACTAATTCCTGACACCATGCGAAGAGGAGAGGAAAAAAAAAATTGAAATGTGTCCACTGAAATAGTGTTGATTATGAAGGGTGGTGAGTCCAGTCTTGGAAAGTCGTACCCCAGGCCTTAGCTACAACACTGTCTGTCTGTGCTGTCTGTCTTCCCCCTGTACTGACATTACTGACAATATTCCCAACATACCCATGTTTCTCCTGAAAATGGTTCAGATTTGAGACCTCTTCCCAATGCACCTGGCCCCCCAGAGAGGAACTTACTCTCTGGAAAAACTGACCTGTCATTTGTGGAATGCAATGTTAAAAATAAAATGAAAAAAAGAAACTCAATTGGAGCATGCAAACTCAGAAAATGTAGGGAAGAATTTTTAGGTTTCTGGAGAGATTATATTCACTCCCAATTTACCTACTTTTGCCTTTCTTTTGGTTCCAAAGTTTAAGGTCAATCATTAGTATGAGAATTTTGCAAACTATGTAAAAGGCAAGTATCAGATCCATAATGTCCTTTCTTTAGTTCTCATTAAGTATTTTATATGTCATGCACTAAAAGGAGATGAGCTTTGTTTCATTTTTTTTTTCTTTTTCTTCTTGAAGATTGTGCCTTGGTTTTCACATCATAGCCCTTAAGATTTTAGAAAAACAAGAGGTAGAAAACAAAGGCCTGGCTAAAAGGGAAGGAAAGGATCAATACACGCACAGGTTCTTGAGTCAGACAGTCTGGGTTCAAAGCCCAGGGATACTCTTATGAGCAACGTAATTTTGGTTAATTTAGTTCCTCTGCTGTGTTTTACTTTTCTCACCTATAAAATGGAGATAATGATGATAATAGCAGCATCTACCCCATTCTTTGTTGTGAGAACACGATGAGTCATTTGATGCAGGCCAAGAACATTTGCCAGCACCTTGTAATCCCCTAACACTCAGGAAATGTTGTCTCTCAATGTTACAAATCTCTGTAAACTTTTGACTCTTAAGCTTTCCTCGGTAGCACACACTGGGCTCCAGAACCAACCGCCAAGTGTCAATACTCCAAGTAGCCACCTGGACATTAAGAAGTCTGTCATTTGTATGATTAGGGTGTGGCCCACTATTTAGAGATGAAATTTAAAAGAGAGAGAGAGAGAGTGAGAGAGAGAGTGACTGACTTAAAAGTCAGTCTTGAGACCATGAAAGTGGTCTCCATAGACCCATCCAGTCATGCATCTCTTAATGATAGGGGTATGTTCCAAGAAATACGTCATTAGGTAATTTCGTCATTGTTTGAACATCAGAGAGAAAACTTAGGCAATGACAGCTAGGTACTAGTTGATAACAAAGTCTTAAAGAACCACCTCCATATATGTGGTCCAACACTGACCAAAACGTCTTTAAGCAATTCCTGACTCTTATCTATTTAGTCAGGAAAGTGGAGAATTAAGATAATCATTCATATAACCTATAAAGGAAGGGATCAGGTGTAGTAGGTAACCCTTTTAACTCAAATCTCTAATGAGGCTAACTTTGCTGGATACTTAAAATTCAGCCAGTCAATCTAGGTAGAAAGAGATTTGGAAACAGTTAAGTATCTGAAAACTGGATTCGGTAATACCAGAAAAAATTAATTTAACCAATGATCTGCACCCCTAGGCAACTTAACTGATCAAAGTTTATCAAGATAGCTTCTACTCAGATTTTGTGACCATCATGATTATGGCAAACAAATCACAAAAATGTGCTCATCCAGCACATTTTCTAATCCCCCTGTCCAAGCTAGAAAGAGTCTTGTAGGCTGATTCACTTAACTAAAGTCTTCAATGGCTTAAAACAGTCTGATTCGGATGTAATAAAAATTTACTGGCATTGCTGATTTCTCAGACGTCCGCCACTTGAGCATGGCTTGCACTTCAAAAACCTGCTTTGAAGACCAAATTACTTTCTACCTAGAAATATGTTTTAAGAAATCATAGTTAACAATCAGGGGCTGCTGTTTTCGTGAACCTTCTGAGGCCAACTTGTACAGCCTTCGTCTTACCTGAGAGCGTAATTCACGGTCTTCTTTCAAGAGACTGAGGTCACTGTCCGTAGGGCGGGGACTTTTATTAGCAAAGCTCCCTAGGGTTAAAGACAGAAAAGGTGAAAAATATATATATTGCAGATTTTCACTTCAGCTGATTTTCACTTGCAGCTGTTTCTGGTCTGCTTTCCTACTTCATCCTGGTAGCATCCTTCATCCTCAGCTGTTTCTGGGATCCTGCTTTCAAAGGCACTTCCCTGAACTTCCTATTGGTGGTCCAGTGTGAAACCTTGCAATGATGATGCTTTGTCCTCAGCCTGCACCTAGAGCAACTTTAGTCACATCTTGCATGACCTGTCCACCATCAGGGGTCCTCAGTCTTGGCACTATTGGCATTTCGGACTAGACAATTCTCTGCTGTAGGGACTGACCTGTGCTTTGCTCGATATTATCCCTGGCCTCCACCCACTGAATGTCAATCTTAGCCTCTCTCTTTCTGCCCTTTCCTTCCAGTCATGGCAACCAGAAAGTCCCCAGACACTGCCGAAAGTCCCCTGAGAGACAAAATATCCTCAGTCAAGAACGCCCATCTCCTTGGTAAATTCTTTGCAAGACAATGTGTCTTGTTCATCTTTGGCTGTCTCACCGCTTCCTCAATAAATGTTTCTTAAGTGAAAAATAAGTAAATAAATGCAGCCATCACTGAAGCAGGAATATTACTATAGATTTGTCTCCTCAGTCATGGGCTGGACCTCTCCCTCAGTGACTCCAGATGCCAAGACCTACTTCCAGGATCTTGGGATAGATATCTTGGTCTAGAGGCTGCTAGAGCTTGGAGAACCTCAGGATGCCACGGATTTGATGAGGGGATTGACCTGACCGTTTTATTTTTATTTTTTTTTTCCAAAAGGAGACATGTATCATAAGCAGTCAAAGCCTTATTTGTTATCTTCTTTTTTCCCTCACAAGAATCAAATGTTGCCATTTCATGCCATTTGGAATTACTCTAGTGAACGTATTAAAATGAAATTTCCAACAATGTAAAATTTTGAGGCTATGGCTCCATGTCAGCATGTTTCAGAAACCTTTTTGTCGCCATAGAGGATTCCACCAGCCTCTTTCTCACCAGCTTTGGTATTTTATTTTATTTTATTATTTTATTTCAGTACTGGTAGCATTTTACCACTGAGCTATACCCCTAGCCCTTTTTTTAAATTTTATTTTTATCTTATTTTATTTTACTTTGAGAAGGGGTCTCACTAAATTGTCTAGGCTGGCCTCAACTGTGTGATCCTCCTGACTCAGTCTACCAAGCATCTGTGATCACAGACATGCACCTCGGAACCTAATTTCCCAGCCTTGGTCCTTGTGGCCCATTCACAGGGGCATCTTGAGCCTGCCCCGGTGGACTGTGAAAAACTAAAGGCAGACACCAAGAAACATCCTTAAGGAAAAGTCACACGGGCCAAGCACCCCTTCCTGGAAACCTGACTCTTTGAGGCAAGACCCGGTAAACCCCTTGGAAGACCATCTTTACCTTCAACCTAAAAGATATTTTATTGGTAGTGTAATTGTCATAGTAAATATCAAGATGAGAATTTAAAAAATAAGATAAGGAAGATAAAATGGGGGAGGGAGTAGAAAAATATATTTATGTGGATCTCAAAATATTATTCTTTTTGAATTTTTATAATTTGCTTTCTCCTTGTATAATTGCAAGTTGGGATAACAAATATGAAATAATAATACGATGATTCACTTTTTAGTATTTCCTAAGAAACACACATATATTGTTGTCTATTTCACACACACACACACACCCCACACCAGTAAAAATAGTTATAATTACACCATTTTACAGATTTGGAAGTTAAGACTCAGATACATCAAAGAACTTCCCCCAAATCAGACATCTTATTAGTGAAAAATCTAAAATATAGTCCCAGTTTTATATGGCCTCAAAGCCCATGCCTTTGATCTGTCTGTTGATTCCTGTTAGAGAAACCACACTCCATTTTCTACTTATATACATTTTTTTAAAACATTGGGCAAGGTATTCATTTTCTACTGCTGCTGGAACAAATTACCATAAATTTCTAGATTAAAGCAACATCCCTGTATTATCTCGAAAATTTGTACTATCTCAGAATCTGCTCAGTTGTTTTCTCTACTTAAAAATCTCACAAGGCGAAAATCAATATTTCAGTCAGGGCTTCAGTTGTCATCTGAGCCTTGGGGTCTTCTCCAGGGTCCTTGGTGTTAGCAGCCCAATCTTGCTGTAGCATAATGCTAGATAACCACTAAAATGAATAAGTTGTAGCTCCAATTTCTTCAAATATTGTGGAGTGGGAAAAGGATTTAGAAAGGCAGCTCTGATACATGATCACTATTTTGTTCAATGAAGAAAAACACCTTTATAAATGTATTTTCTCAATATTTCCACGTGGCTCTCTCATCCCGGCATTCAGGTCAATAGCAGCTGGTCTCATTCTTTCCCTGCTTTGAATCTCTCCGATTTCTCTTCTGCCACCAGACCAAAAAAGCTCCTGCTTTTAAAGGCTCATGTGATGAGATTCTGTTCACCCAGTTGTCTCCCTTCAACCATGGGAGGACTGTGAGTAGCAGAGCTTAGACATCTTTTGGAGACCATCTTAGAAATTCTGCCTATGACAGTCTTTGACTTAATGAGATTTTGATCCTCGTGTGTTAAAATATAATAACACTGTCCGTGGTCATGTAATAACGTCCCTTTATCAAAGAGGTAGACTCCTACAATTCTTTTTTTTTTCTTTGTTCTCATGTAAAATATTCTTTGCTCAAAATCCAATGTTTTTTTTTGTAGATGGATAGAGGCATTTAACTAAAATAGAATCATGCCACACAACTTTTCTGCCAACTTGTATTTTCATTCAATAAGGAATCATTGTCTCTCTATTAGACATTAAATATATATCTATCTTTCTTCTTTATAATTACATTTTCGTTTGCCTCGATGCACCGTTATTTCTTCTGGCCTTCAGCTCAGCTGCTCTTCATTCATCCTGGTCCACATAAACCCTTTGATTTTTCTCACACACATGTACACGTATGTGTGAACACACGAACATGTTCATTTGTAGATGTACTTTTCTTCATTGACCAAAAAGAGATGATATGTTGTATATGCCTTCCTATATCCTTCCTCAGTATCTGATGAAATTCCCTTTCAGTAAATAATTACAGCTCTAATTTATATTTTTTCCAATGGCCACAGAATATAACATAATTGTGTTACAGTTGCAGCATAATTTAGGTCATCATTCCCTGCTAGTCAGGATTCACCTTTTTATTCCTTTTAATTTTTTCCATTAAAAAAAGTCACAATAAAATCCTGATACCTGTGTCCATTTTTACTGATTTTATTCCAATGGAGAGATTTTCAGGGTGGAATTGTTGGGCCAAAGAATTTGCCTATTTTTAATGTAGTAAGAGATTGCCAGAGTACTTTTTTTTTAAAGTACATCTTGGACAAGTAACATATAAGAAAATCTATTTCCCCAAATACTTGCCACAAATAAATTTTGAATTACTCATTGCCGCTTTGAATTATTCATTTATAATATTATTAGAACATGATCAGAGATGGTGACAGTTAGGGTCTGGATGTGAGATGTCCCCCTAGAACTCTTGTGTGAGACAACGCAGGAAAGTTCAGAGGTGAAATGATTGGGTTACAAGAGTTTTAACCTAATCATGCATTAATCCTCCAATGGAATTAACTGTGTGGTGACTACAGGCAGTTAGGGTGTGGCAGGAGGAGGTGGGTCTCTGGGGGCATGCTTTTGGGCTATGTATTTTGTCCTTGTTGAGTAGGAGTTCTCTCTCTCTCTCAGCTTGCTGGTGCCATCTTCTCATCTGCTTTCGTCCACCACACATTTTTGCCATAACTTTCTACCTTATCTCAGGCCCAGAGGAATGGAGTTGGCCAGCTATAGACTGAGACCTCTGAAACCCTGAGCCCCAAAATACAAAATAAACTTTTCCTCCTCTGATTGTTTTGTAGTACACTTCTTGAAGCCAACATAGACTCAATCTTGCTTTTTCATCTAGATTGGCAAGCTTTGCTTTATTTATTTATTTAATTTTGATACCAGTGATTCCATCCAGGGGTGTTTAATCACTGAGCCACATCCATAACCCTTTTTCAAAAATATATTTATTTTTTTAGGTGTAGTTGGACACAGTACCTTGATTTAATTTATTTATTTGTATGTGGTGCTGAGGATCGAACCCAAGGTCTCGCACATGCTAGGCAAGTGCTCTATGGCTGAGCTACAACCCCAGCCCCTCCACAACTCTTTGTTATATTTTATTTAGAGACACAGTCTCACTAAATTTCTTAGTGCCTCACTAAGTTGCTGAGGCTGGCTTTGAACTTGCAATCCTCCTGTTTCAGCCTCCTTAACCATTGGTATTACAGATGGGTACCACTGTGCCCAGCCCAGTCTCTGCTTTTTAATGAACTGATTTTGTCTTGAATATTTCATGTAATTATTTGTTATTGTCAGTTTATTCCATGCTGTGACCAAAAGTCCTGATAAGAAATACATAGAGATGGAAAAGTTTATTTGGGTTCACAATTTTAGAGGTTCTGTCCATGAACAGCTGCAGAACATCATGGCGGAGGGAAGAAAGCAGATCAGGAAATGGAAATCAGGAAGTAGAGAGTTCTCTGCTCTTCACAACCAAAATGCAAACCCTAAAGGCTTGCCCTCACCCCAACCCACCTCCTCCAGCCACATCCTGCTTGCCTACATTTACCACCCAATTAATCCATTTCAGTGGATTAAGCCACTGATTCAGTTAAGGCTTTCATAAACTGGGTGTGGTGACAAGTGCCTCGAGTCCCAGCACCTTCCTTGAGGTAGGAAGTTTGGGGGTGGGGATACCTCATATCCAAACCATAACAGCTGGGTTTATTTACCATCTTGCTATTCACTTCTGTTTTTCTCCTTCAGTTCTCTGTTCTTTTGTTGAGTCTCTCCTGCCTTCTTTTGGGTTACCCCAGGTGTTTAGTACCACCTTTATTGTTTTCTCACCTATGTCTCTCAGGTTGGTA